CCCACCAGAATTTTACAAAATACCACGGACAACTGCAAATGCACGTGCGGGTAAGGGTATAAAACGATTGCAACGGCAAGTCAGACATCCACAGTGATAAAAAAACACAAAAGAAATGCCACGACTCACAGTCGAACAACGTGAACGAGCCTTGGGTATGGTACAGATGGGAGCCACCCACGCCCATATTGCACGAACCTTCGGTTGCTCCCGTGTTGCCGTTACCAACTTGATGCAACGTTACAGACAGACAGGGCGGACCGCTGACAGGCCAAGAACAGGCAGACCCAGGTTGACCACGCCCCATGATGACCGGTACTTGCGTACCTTGCACCTCCGAAATCGCTTCCTGACAGTGACGTCATCGGCGACAAATGCCTTAGGTCACAGGGTTAGTCGACAGACAGTAGCCAGGAGACTCAGGGCTCATGGAATCAGGGCATGGATCGTCATGTTCGACAACGACCTCACTCTCCAGCCAACCGGCAAGAACCGATCTTGGCCCTCCAAGAAGAATGGCGTCAAATCCCACGTGACCTCATCAGACGACTGACTTTTTCTGTGCGTCGAAGGGTTTTTGCGTGTATTGAGGCATTTGGTGGTCACACACGCTACTAATGACTTTTTATTGATCGTGAGCGATTGTTTATGTACTCTGCCTATTGTCCATGATTCTGTAAGCTCAAGTTTTGTACCACACCCAACTTTGGGGGGGCTCTGACGTCGTTCTCGGTCGCGGTATGATTGTCATTTTCAGTGTTGACTATGTTGATATATTGATCTTCTCAACACACTTTACTTCATGCAAGTATATTTTGTTGTTTTTGAGCAAGAGTGATTTCAAACTCTGGTAAAGTTTCTTTTGGACGTCAGTTTATTTGCGAAAAAACCCCATGAGTTTTGAGTAGATAAAAATATTGTCGCCCATGGGGTCAACCATGGGCCACACTTCGCCCATAGGCAGGCCCATGGGCGACATACGTCGTTCTCGGTCGCGGTATGATTGTCATTTTCAGTGTTGACTATGTTGATATATTGATCTTCTCAACACACTTTACTTCATGCAAGTATATTTTGTTGTTTTTGAGCAAGAGTGATTTCAAACTCTGGTAAAGTTTCTTTTGGACGTCAGTTTATTTGCGAAAAAAACCCATGAGTTTTGAGTAGATAAAAATATTGTCGCCCATGGGGTCAACCATGGGCCACACTTCGCCCATAGGCAGGCCCATGGGCGACATAGTGTAAATATTTAGTTTTTTAACCTTTTTTTTCATTTTTTCTTCCTTAGTATGTTCCCATGAAAACAGCATGTTTAAGTTTGTAAATACCTTTGACCGAGACTGGGCAAAGACCGTTGAGTTTCTTGACTAGTCGGTTTTAAGAATTAAAATGGGACGTGTTATCATTCAGTCTTTAGTTTTGCACACGAATTTCCAAGTTAAAGGTTGAGACGACAGAAACCACTTAACACGCAGCCCAGACGGCGAATGGCGAGTTTCCTGCCCAGTCGAACCCACAAAGGACATTTCGGGGAATGTAAAGACTCCCCAGGGTTGCTGTTTTTCTGAACATATTGCATATAACCTCGATGAAGTGTTCACATAGCCTCTCTTTGAAAAACCGAGTCTGGGCTGATTTGATGTGGCACTTCACTTGGTTGACAGTCATTTCTAAACCCCATCTTCTACCTTGCCATTTTTCAGATGAAGAATGTGTTATTTGTCGAGCCCAAAGGACATGCCAATATCATTAGAAAAGGACTGGACAAGGAGAATCTGTTTTTTTCAGTGTGGATTCTCCTTTGGCAGGAAGTTCAAGCTCATCCATGTAAAGGAGGTGAGTAAGAGATGTTACGTGTCAATTAGTAAACAATATGTTAATCCAGAAATCTGTGTAAAAGTACAACAACCAATCAAGTCGTTGGCAGCGTTCAGTATCAAATCCACAATAGTGATACCCTACATTCACCCAGCGGCGACAGACAGTATTTGTGGATTTGATACTGACCGTTGCCATCGTATAATATATTGCCATTGAATTTGAACTACCACTCTATTTTTTACTGCCATTGTAATTGTATTGATTTGTAAACTTAGCGAAAAGATTTGTTAAACATTTGTTGATTGGTTGTTGTTCTTTTACACAGATTACTGGATTAACATATTTTTTACTAATTGACACGTAACACCGCCCTGTCTGTCTGTAACGTTGCATCATGTTGGTAATGGCAACACGGGAGCAACCGAAGGTTCGTGCAATATGGGCGTGGGTACCATACCCAAGGCTCGTTCACGTTGTTCGACTGTGAGTCGTGGCATTTCTTTTGTGTTTTTTTATCACTGTGGATGTCTGACTTGCCGTTGCAATCATTTTATACCTTTACCCGCACGTGCATTTGCAGTTGTCCGTGGTATTTTATAAAATTCTGGTGGGACTCCATCAACACCTGACGCTTTACCGTTTTTAAGGGAACTTGTGAAGAGCAACCTCCTCGTGGTGAGTGTTTGGTAACGCTCATCGTTCTTCACCCGGGGTAGAATGTGTCTACAGCACCCCATTGCTGGTCGTATGAGGCGACTAAATTAAGCAACCCGTTTGCCGTGGGTTGCGCCCCTGTGTCGGTGGAAGACAGGATTCTGGTGTTTGAGGGCATTGGAGCCAGGAACCGGTGTTCCTTTTGCCCAACACACCACTTCGACCCATACTTCGACTAGGCGGGTGGTAGAATTGGCCCGATTCCATCAACTGGCTGGTCACGCCATGCCCTGTGCATGGAAAACATATCTCAGAAATATCATATTAAAAACTGGTTTATTGTGAAATATGATATCGTTATTAATGCGGATATCATATAAGATGTTGACGTTGTCCCACTTAATATTGTGGCTGGGGTGGATTTGGGTGTGGTCAGAGATAGCAGATTTAGAGTCTTTTTGAGGACAGACGCTTAAAAGAACATCATGTCTGTCCTAAAAATCTTTTTTCTAAATCTGCTATCTCTGACCACACCCAAATCCACCCAGCCACAATATTAAGTGTGACAATGTCAACATCTTAACAACAAACCAGAAAGACTTCAAGCTCAGAAAACTTAGAGAAGCCATTTGTATCAAAAGATTTCAGCCAGCCATAAACAGAGATCAAGGATACTACATCCCTCCAGCTTACCATGATCTCATCAGTTTGCCAAACAACACTGAACTATTATCTCCCCACTGGCTTCCCATACATTCCTTCTTAGTAATCCTTGTGTTAATCCCATACTCATCAATTACTGTACATCAACCCCATCTATTGTATAAACTTGTCTTATCATAACTACCTAATAAATCAGTGTACATATTACATGGTGGAACACTGACTTCGTTGCAGGATGCTCTACACAGACAGATATCCCATACATATTTAATAAGGCTCAAATTGGTGTTTCATGCTGGTGAAGGTACAGATGTTAACCAATAACACCTTAGAAATGAAGCAGCACACGGTCGAGGGGGAAGAGTATGGTCGTTCACGACAGCTGATTTTATTTTCAGATAACTTACACATAAGTACATTATTTAATAGTTACATCAATATCTATTAATATCATCGGTGTACACACACTCTAAATATTTGAGTCTGTCAGAATCATCCTTGGAACGTGATGATTACAAAAGGATGTACATGATACAGCTGCCCATACAATATGCGGAGGCTGAGGTGTCATCATGTCACACCATGCCGTGATGGTCTGACACTACTCCGGCCGCTGACAGACGAAGTGTACCTCTCCCTCATTCCATGCACTGTGGTGTTCCTGAACCAAGATAAACCCAGCCTGGAGTAGAAGCTCTCGAGCCTTTTGTACACCAAAGCACGGCCCCAGTGCAGCAGACTTCTGTTCCTGGTAGCTCTCGGGGATACATATGAAGGTCGAGCTTGCGTACATGTAGCTGATGCCTACTTTGCCCACGTTGTCGCGGAGACTCCCTTGAAGACCAAAGTCCAACATGCTGAAGTACCCATCATCTTGAACTTTACTCTAACCTCAAGCTGACACACCGTTATATTACTGACATACTGTTCAGAACAGCGTTAAACCATATTCTACAAACAGAATATACAGTCGTCCCTGTATAATATAGGTTGACACATGTATATTTCACTGATGAAAACATCAGTTCTAACCGCTCCACATGAATAAATATATAGGGCAATGGATTATAAAGTTCAAGCTGTTTTCACTTCTCAGACAATACCCTCAAACAATACTCTCAAACAACACTCATAAACATTACTCTCAAGCAATACTCTTAATTGAAACCCGCCCAGAACCAAGCTACTTCGATATGGCTTCATGTACGTGGCAAGATCTATCTCCAAATTACAAGATTAATGGAAAACAGAAATTATTTCATATAGCCTGAAGCCGACCATCTACAATAAAGATCTGTAATAATATGTTATGCATACTAATAAGTACATATGTGTATCAGTATTTATTTAGAGTAAATCTGGTATCCGTATTTACCTGAAGACAAACGGTGGAGTTCAATGGCTAATATAGTTATCACTGTTTAACAATTAGAAAATGTGCAAAAGTATATCTCGGTTTAAATTAAATGGGGCAACACAAGTACATTGACTATATATTAGCAGTTCTGAACGTTTAGTGAGGCTGATAGAGACATGCTTTGTGGTGGTGCAGATTACACTCACCTTTCCCCAAACACCTGGTGTCCTCAATATTTGATATTGATTCCTACACACATGCTCATGATATGGTCGGAATCGAAAATTGATTTCTTATAAATATGGAAATGGTTTTGTTGACTTTATTTACATGTAAGCAGTGCAGAACTGTTAAAAAAAAGCCTGATACGGATATAACTTACACGAGGAAATGAACGTTCATGGTTTCATGTTAAGTTTAATATATATATACTGAAGTTTAAGTATACTGGAGACAGTTCTCCTGATCAGAGGACCAGGTAATAGTAAGGTACCAACAGCAAAGATGTTCATGAAGAGTTTTAATTGACTTGAAACAATAAAGTTACAACATTCATGGCTGGTTAACAGATGTCACGTATTTGTTGGATTATTCCTTGTCTGGACATGATTTAAATCAAGCTCAGGCATGGCAACTAGTTGCTGATCTGGGACGTTGGTAAGTGAACCCTGGAAGGACAGATTGTACAGTTATAGCGGGACATATATCGTGTCTATCTAAGACATATATGAAATCAAAAGATCATTTTCGACAGATGTAGTGAACATCCTGCTTGTTCTTTTCATTATGGAACTCTTTGACCAGCGTGAAACCCGCCCTCTCTATCATTTCCCTGGCCTGACAGACATTCCATGCAGCTCCTAGGGCGGCGGAGTCGGGGTGCTGGAAGCTCTCAGGCACGCAGCTGAAGGTACTCAGAGTATACAGGGAACAGACGCCCATGTTGCCAACATTCTCCGATAATGTTTCCGTCACGCCCTTTTCCAGGAGGCTCAGCTCTCCCCCGGGCTTCAGGGACCGGTAGATCGCACGCAATGCTCGATCAGGGTGAGGCAGGTCATGAATGACGTCACGAACTAATATCCAATCAAATTTGTTCATATATGTATCAGGGAGGTCATAAATGTCTTGACGTTCAAAATGGAGGTTTGTGAGGCCCTTCACAGATGCTGCTTGTCGTGCAGTCTCCAGCAGCTCATCAACCACGTCACTGGCGATAAAGGTCGTTGCTGGATATCGTTGAGCCAAATTAGAAGCTAGGATGCCATAGCCACACCCCAGTTCTGCTGCCATTATACCCTTATCTGCAATAAGGAACAAATGGGGACATTGATGTTGTTGTTGCGAATTAACTGTATGTTTTCTCTATCAAAGGGAAATCCATCCAACTCGATCATAATGTATTTACATAACAGATCATATTCATTACGAAGACAGACCACAACGGAAAGATGTTTCTGTTGGTCAGGATGAAGTATGAAAGATCACCCAATATATTCCAATGGTTTACACGTTTTCACACTGGTTTGCCTTTTACCCTCTCTGGAATCTGTTTCCGCAGATAATCTTATTCACTGGCGTTGACGTTTTGAATATGATCACAGGGTTTTTAAAAGGCAATCAACCATGCATATCCCAAAATGAATTCACTGATACGATTCTGTATTAGATCCTACGGATTGACAAACTTCCGCATACAGAAAGTACTGTTTATATATACTAACGGAAAAAAGTAATTGTGCTTCATATGAAGTGATGTAAATGTTATGTTATCAAATGCAACAACATAATATTTGGTCTTTTGTCTGATCAGTGGTTTATCATAACCATTCACTACCAAAACCCAGATGTGTTACCAGGAGACAGAGAGACAAGCACAAAATGGTGGTGGTAGTGGTGGTGGTGGTGTAATCTCAATTAGTAAGGTCAATGTCAGATGTCAGCTCCATTTGCGTTGATACAGGCTAGGCAGCGGTGGAGCATTGAAGGTAACAGATGATTGAAAACAGCCTCGGGGAAGTTGTTCAAATATTAATTAAAGATTGTCCCAACTGAAATAGCTTTAGCGGCTGGTTCTGGTCCTGCCATAGTCGTCTTTCGAGACATTTCTGTCTGGGAGAGGTCTGGAGATACAGCCCGTCATAGCAGTACAGCAACATTATGCTGCCTCATTACGTAGATCCACCAACCGAAAACAGGTTGTTTTGTTGACGTGACGTTACACGGGGACGACAGGCCCGTGGCAAGTCATTGTGTTTTGATGAACACTAAAATGTCTGCCAACTTAGTTTTGAGCTATTCCTGTTTGCAGCATACCCTCAGCGTGTAGAGGTTGATTTTTGGTAAGCGGTGACATTGCATGAGCGTTATTTATTATAGAACAAAAGGGTTTTGGTGAATCATTAGTGTGTTTCACATTCAAAAAACACGTGTGCGGGTATCATGCTCCTCACACATACGCAAATATCCAAATTCTGCACACTGCTAGAACATGCACGTGCAATTTGTGAATCAGGATCATAAAGTTGTGGAGATGTATTCATTAATATGTCTTGAAAGATACATTATCCAATTTCACAATAGATTTATTTTTATTGAACTTTACTTTTTTGCCGTTAGTATATATAGTTGTTCAAAGCAATGGTGGAGGAAGGTTCAGATAAACGTGGTATATGACTGTACTACACATCCAGCTGATTACCTAGCCGCTTAGGAAGTCCGGGCACCACGCCAAGTACAAACTCCTCCAGCAGGGTGTCCTGGCTGAACACTCGCAACTCGCGCATGATGTCGAAAGCGACAGGAAAAGCGGCATAGCGCACACCTGGTGACCAAGAATAATATTTTAACTGAAGGTGAAGCCAGTGTGGTCAGTTCTAAATGACTGGTACATTTATCATCTCATTTATAAAACAGACATGGTGAGGTGCGCTGGTTACCACACCATTGGAAAGGAGGGTTTCTTTCACCAGTGTCTTCTGCAGACATGATAGATTATACCAGTGTTCACACACGCCCAGATGGGGTATCACGCTAGGAGGAGTGATTGCCTATGCGCCATTTCAGCATGCTGGGATCTCAGATCATTCGGTTTCAGTCCCTGATGAGCTCTGATTATCATCCTTGGATTGTCAGGTCAGCACTGCGTTTGAGGGTGATATAGTCCAATAGTCACTTTAGGCTTTCCTCTCGCATTAAGCAAAATTCACTCACTTACTCCGAGGTGGACATTTGTAGACTAGTCCAAGCCTAGTATTTATTAGAAAACAACAACTGAATACTGCAATGTTGGTCCAGGCACCAACAGTTTCTTATGGGTGTGAAGCATTGATAGGCCTGGTCCAAACCTTAGAGAATTTACTGGTAAGCCAGGATAAAAGTTAAGTTGTGACCTGACAGCTAACCCCGCATGACTATGTATGAGGTCCACCCACTTCTGCATATAATTATGAAGAAATCGGTAGTGGCCCGCCTGGTCCGCGACAAGTAGTACGATGGATATGTGCATGTCTCGGCTAAGAATTCTGACACGGACCATTCAATAGTCTTATGCGCAAAACGTGTGTCCAGGGGAGCTCAGTCAATTTCATCGCCATTACATGCGCGTGCACATCATGCGCACACCCTCACTATATGTGACAAACCAAATATGTTTGCTACTTCTTTGTACTGCCTACTTGTCTCAGACGCGTCTTGTGAGTTGGTTCAACGTATCCTGGATTACTGTAATACAAAGCCAACAACCTGCAGCAATCCCTTCCCTGAAGCAATCCCCGAAATAGGGCATCAAACGATTGGAGATGGCCGCACCGGCCAGAGACTTCCGGTTGGAGACAGGTACAAAGTACTTCCGGCTTGTGGAGTCCACTTCAATCACATCAGCAGTCACCAGGGCGCCAAGGATTTCCCGGCAGTATCTGAGTCGATAATATGGCTATAAGAGACTAAATGGCCTCGCAAACAGTCATGTTACAGTTCCCTAAGTACAAAGTACAAAAACTCTTTTAGACTCCCACACGTGGAAATATCATCCGACGTCAGCGGTACATCAGCCTCCAAGAGGATTTTGAGTATCCCAACATCCTTTGCAAGAGCAATGGCCGTAGTTGCACATCCGGCATTGAAGAATCCACGAAGTCGTTCTGCATACGTGTCCTCCATAACATTTGATCCTAAAAATACACTTCAGATCTGTTGTAGTTTGCCTTTAAAAATATATGTCTTGTACGTTAATGAACTATATGCGTACGGAAAAAAAATATATACTGAACCAAATTAATAAACTTCACACACAATCCTAAAATTTTAACATTTTGACCAGTTATCATTGTGGGCCCTTATTGTGTATTTAAACAGTAATGGCCACGTATTGTCTTCGAATAACACCCGTTTTTGTGCAGGTGAATCGATCAAAATCATGTGCACAGCACTATAGCGGCAAAAGTGTTTTTTCACGTGCAACTGGTCACGTGGCCATAATACCGCACGTGTTATCAGCCGTACTTGTTAGCGGTCATTAAGAAAAAAAGAAAAACACAAGAAAACAAAAGTCTTTACGGCCAGGGCAGGGCAGGGGAGGGCAGGGCAGGGCAGGGCAGGGCAGGGCAGGGCAGGGCAGGGCAGGGCAGGGCAGGGCAGGGCAGGGCAGGGGAGTGTATGGCAGGGCAGGGCAGGGCAGGGCAGGGCAGGGCAGTGTATGGCAGGGCAGGGCAGGGGAGGGTATGGTAGGGCAGGGCAGGGGAGTGTATGGCAGGGCAGGGCAGGGGAGGACAGGACAGGACAGGGCATGGGTGGGTATGGTAGGGCAGGGCAGGGCAGGGGAGGACAGGGCAGGGCAGGGCAGGGGTGGCTATGGTAGGGCAGGGCCGGGGAGTGTATGGCAGGGCAGGGCAGGGCAGGGGAGAGTATGGCAGGGGAGGACAGGGCAGGGGAGGGTATGGCAGGGCAGGATAGGGCAGGGCAGGGCAGGGCAGGGCAGGGCAGGGCAGGGCAGTGTATGGCAGGGCAGGGCAGGGCAGGGCAGGGCAAGGCAGGGCAGGACAGGGCAGGGCAGGGGTGGGTATGGTAGGGCAGGGGAGTGTATGGCAGGGCAGAGCAGGGTAGGACAGGACAGGACAGGGCAGGGGTGGGTATGGTAGGGCAGGGCAGGGGAGTGTATGGTATGGCAGGGCAGGGCAGGTCAGGGCAGGGCAGGTCAGGGCAGGGCAGGGCAGGGCAGGGCAGGGCAGGACAGGGCAGGGGTGGGTATGGTAGGACAGGGCAGGGGAGTGTATGGCAGGGCAGAGCAGGGTAGGACAGGACAGGACAGGGCAGGGGTGGGTATGGTAAGGCAGGGCAGGGGAGTGTATGGTATGGCAGGGCAGGGCAGGGCAGGACAGGGCAGGGCAGGGCAGGGCAGGGCAGGGCAGGGCAGGGCAGGGCAGGACAGGACAGGGGTGGCTATGGTAGGGCAGGGCAGGGGAGTGCATTGCAGGGCTGGGCAGGGCAAGGGAGGACAGGGCAGGGCAGGGCAGGGCAGGGGTGGCTATGGTAGGGCAGGGGAGGGGAGTGTATGGCAGGGCAGGGCAGGGCAGGGGAGAGTATGGCAGGACAGGGCAGGGCAGGGGAGGGTATGGCAGGGCAGGGCAGGGCAGGGCAGGGCAGGACAGGACAGGACAGGGGTGGGTATGGTAGGGCAGGGCAGGGGAGTGTATGGCAGGGCAGGGCAGGGGAGGACAGGACAGGACAGGACAGGGGTGGGTAGGGTAGGGCAGGACAGGGGAGTGTATGGTATGGCAGGGCAGGGCTGGACAGGACAAGGCAGGGTAGGGCAGGGGTGGGTATGGTAGGGCAGGGGTGGGGAGTGTATGGCAGGGCAGGGCAGGGCAGGGGAGGACAGGACAGGGCAGGGCAGGGGAGGGTATGGTAAGGAAGGGCAGGGCAGGGCAGGGGTGGGTATCGTAGGGCAGGGGTGGGGAGTGTATGGCAGGGCAGGGCAGGGCAGGGGTGGACAGGACAGGGCAGGGCAGGGCAGGGCAGGGCAGGGCAGGGCAGGGCAGGGGAGTGTATGGCAGGGCAGGGCAGGGCAGGGCAGGACAGGGCAGGACAGGGCGGGGCAGGGCAGGGCAGGGCAGGGGAGTGTATGGCAGGGCAGGGCAGGGGTGGGTATGGTAAGGGAAGGGCAGGGGAGTGTATGGCAGGGCAGGGCAGGGCAGGGCAGGACAGGACAGGACAGGGCAGGGCAGGGGAGTGTATGGCAAACAGTGCAGGGGAGGACAGGACAGGACAGGGCAGGGATGGGTACGGTAGGGCAGGGCAGCGGAGTGTATCGTATGGCAGGGCAGGGGAGGAAAGGGGAGGGCAGGGCAGGGGTGGGTATTGTAGGGCAGAGCAGGGGAGTGTATGACAGGGCAGGGCAGGTCAGGGCAGGGGAGGACAGGACAGGACAGGACAGGAGTGGGTATGGTAGGGCAGGGCAGGGGAGTGTATGGTATGGCAGGGCAGGGCAGGACAGGACAGGGCAGGGCAGGGGAGTGTATGGCAGGGCAGGGCAGGGTAGGGGTGGCTACGACAGGGCAGGGCAGGGCAGGGCAGGACAGGACAGGACAGGGCAGGGCAGGGGAGTGTATGGCAGGGCAGGGCAGGGCATGTCAGGTCAGGAGGTATAGGGTGTATAGGTCAGGCCGGACAAGGTCACTGACCAGGGCAGGGCAGGGCAGGGCAGGACAGGGCAGGGCAGGGCAGGGGTGGCTATGGTAGGGCAGGGCAGGGGAGTGTAAGGCAGGGCAGGGCAGGGCAGGGCAGGGCAGGGCAGGGCAGCAAATCATGCCATTTGGCAGTGTTGTTAGATGGAATCATATCATAAGGCAGTATCATTAGACTGAATCATGTCATTAGGCAGTGTCGTTAGATGGAGTAATATCATTAGGCAGCGCCATTAGACGGAATCACGTCATTGTGCAGTGTCGTAAAAGGAATCATAACATTCATATCAGGAGCGGTTGGGTAGTTTGATGGTTCAAGTGTTTGCTCGACACGACGAAGATCAGTGTTCAATTCCTCACATAGGTAATAAGTTTGGATGCCATTTCTAGTGATCCCCGCCGTTATATTGCTGGAATATTGCTAAAAGCAGCGTATAACACTACCCCCTCACTCCCTCACTATTTTATACCATCGATTAGAATTTGGAGCAAGCAAAACAGAATTGAACCTAAAAGAATGAAGATATGATCCCCAGATTATACGCTGGGTGATATTATTTTGCTATTTTCAGGACATCCAACATTCAAAATCCCACGAACATGATAGCTGTTGTAAAACCTGAGATGTTTGAATGAAAACGAGTTGGTAATATTATATTCTCGAACGCCATCGTGCCCAGGGTTGTTTCAAACATTCAGTGTTGTAGAGAAAGGGGAGGTAACTCATGGAATAACCTCCCTTTGAGTGACTCAACATTCCCAGTCATTCTCCACAGCCCGTGTCAACCGCAGTTGCAGGTAAGTCTTGTGTATATATATTTCTGCCTGTCAACGCCCGTTCGCTCCACAACCACAGGTGGTAAGACTTGTCTCTGACTGTCAGTACCCGTATCCTGCAGAGATGCCTAACTGTCATGTTGATCCGTCGTCCAGCAGTGTGCGCGTGTGCCCCTCTCATGTGCCGGAGAAGTTCGCAGGCTGGCGTCGCGCACGATCACTGGAAAGTGTCTGTATGGGTTGGTAACGCATGGTATATGCACAGGGTCCTATATATATATATATATATATATATATATATATATACCGGTATACATTTCTCAAACTGTCAGATAATAATATCAGGACCTGACGGCGGATCCAGGTCAGGAGGTATAGGGTGTATAGGTCAGGCCGGACAAGGTCACTGACCTAGTTTCCACCCATTTGTTTGCGAGTGATTCCACTGACCCTGGTGTAGCAGTACTTGCACACTCAAGGGTTTATAAAGGACACTGACCCTGGTGTAACAGTACCTGCACACTCAAGGGTTTATAAAGGACACTGACCCTGGTGTAGCAGTACCTGCACACTCAAGGGTTTATAAATGTCACTGACCCTGGTGTAGCAGTACCTGCACACTCAAGGGTTTATAAAGGACACTTACCCTGGTGTAGCAGTACCTGCACACTCAAGGGTTTATAAAGGACACTGACCCTGGTGTAGCAGTACCTGCACGCTCAAGGGTTTATAAAGGACACTGACCCTGGTGTAGCAGTACCTGCACACTCAAGGGTTTATAAAGGACACTGATCCTGGTGTAGCAGTACCTATACACTCAAGGGTTTATAAAGGACACTAACCCTGGTGTAGCAGTACCTGCACACTCAAGGGTTTATAAAGGACACTGACCCTGGTGTAGCAGTACCTGCACACTCAAGGGGTTATTAAGGACACTGACCCTGGTGTAGCAGTACCTGCACACTCAAGGGTTTATTAAGGTCACTGACCCTGGTGTAGCAGTACCTACACGCTCAAGGGTTTATTAAGGTCACTGACCCTGGTGTAGCAGTACCTGCACACTCAAGGGTTTATAAAGGACACTGACCCTGGTGTAGCAGTACCTGCACACTCAAGGGTTTATAAAGGACACTGACCCTGGTGTAGCAGTACCTGCACACTCAAGGGTTTATAAAGGACACTAACCCTGGTGTAGCAGTACCTGCACACTCAAGGGTTTATAAAGGACACTGACCCTGGTGTAGCAGTACCTGCACACTCAAGGGTTTATAAAGGACACTGACCCTGGTGTAGCAGTACCTGCACACTCAAGGGTTTATAAAGGACACTAACCCTGGTGTAGCAGTACCTGCACACTCAAGGGTTTATAAAGGACACTGACCCTGGTGTAGCAGTACCTGCACACTCAAGGGTTTATAAAGGACACTGACCCTGGTGTAGCAGTACCTGCACACTCAAGGGTTTATAAAGGACACTGACCCTGGTGTAGCAGTACCTGCACACTCAAGGGTTTATAAAGGACACTGACCCTGGTGTAGCAGTACCTGCACACTCAAGGGTTTATAAAGGACACTAACCCTGGTGTAGCAGTACCTGCACACTCAAGGGTTTATAAAGGACACTGACCCTGGTGTAGCAGTACCTGCACACTCAAGGGTTTATAAAGGACACTGACCCTGGTGTAGCAGTACCTGCACACTCAAGGGTTTATAAAGGACACTGACCCCGGTGTAGCAGTACCTGCACACTCAAGGGTTTATAAAGGACACTGACCCTGGTGTAGCAGTACCTGCACACTCAAGGGTTTATAAAGGACACTGACCCTGGTTTAGCAGTACCTGCACACTCAAGGGTTTATAAAGGACACTGACCCTGGTGTAGCAGTACCTGCACACTCAAGGGTTTATAAAGGACACTGACCCTGGTGTAGCAGTACCTGCACACTCAAGGGTTTATAAAGGACACTGACCCTGGTGTAGCAGTACCTGCACACTCAAGGGTTTATAAAGGACACTGACCCTGGTGTAGCAGTACCTGCACACTCAAGGGTTTATAAAGGACACTGACCCTGGTGTAGCAGTACCTGCACACTCAAGGGTTTATAAAGGACACTGACCCTGGTGTAGCAGTACCTGCACACTCAAGGGTTTATAAAGGACACTGACCCTGGTGTAGCAGTACCTGCACACTCAAGGGTTTATAAAGGACACTAACCCTGGTGTAGCAGTACCTGCACACTCAAGGGTTTATAAAGGACACTAACCCTGGTGTAGCAGTACCTGCACACTCAAGGGTTTATAAAGGACACTAACCCTGGTGTAGCAGTACCTGCACACTCAAGGGTTTATAAAGGACACTGACCCTGGTGTAGCAGTACCTACACGCTCAAGGGTTTATAAAGGTCACTAACCCTGGTGTAGCAGTACCTGCACACTCAAGGGTTTATAAAGGTCACTGACCTAGTTTCAACCCATTTGTTTGCGAGTGATTCCTGCGGACACTGACCCTGGTGTAGCAGTACCTGCACACTCAAGGGTTTATAAAGGACACTGATGCAAGAAACTGTTTATAACGTCTTTGCGAAACCATTAATGCTTACAGTTACAACTGTGCTGCATGTCTTCACAACAGGAGTGGATGGGATGCCACACCTTTCGGAGGGAGGGCTGCGGTCGGGGGGCTTTGAATGTGCCGACTAAAATAAGTACAGTCACACTTACTGTGTGTCCTTGCTAGTAGTTGGTCATCGAACCCCACAACGGGGATTTATGCTCATATTCTCAACCACTGGTTAGCATGTCCTCATGTTTTACCTGCCACTGGGAAATAGCTGAAATGTTCCTTATGTGTGTTGGTGATGTAGGTATTGTAGGTCCCACGCAAGGACAGAGTAGGTACTAGCATGTGGTATATAGATCTCTATCAGTTTGTCAGCTACATCCTTGAAACACAGGCGTTTTCCATGCTATTGAGTATAGCATACTTAATGACATGACTTTATGGATGTAATACAATTGATGAGAAAGGCATGTAGACTACGTAAACATCAATAATACTTGTAAAATACTGTTATAGAAAAGACAAAGAAATACAGTCAAGTCCCTTTAATCCGACATTGGTTGCATATGATTATGTCGGATTGACGAGTATGTCGGAAAAAGGACATGTACCAAGGAAAGGGTCCTCCCACTGCAGTGGCGACTGTCATTTAGAATTATTTGTTAACATATGAACTAACCAGTCGCGCATATATTACTGACTTTTAAAATATAATGAACGCAATAGCATTTAAAAATGTAGGAAGATCATTTCATGTCGCACGTTGTGCCCAGCTGTTAGAGGTTTACACGTGTATCTGTATAAGTCGAAGACCAGATGGAGAAACTCGAGGGATGCTACAACGAAGTGTGCTGAACACTTGCACTAGCCTAAGACTCGGACTGAACAACTGATTTGCCTTGGCATGTGCTTGTGACGGGTGCCACCGGTGGTGTTTGGAAACGCTCACCTTTTCACGAGCACCTGGTATCATCACTAGTTGATAGTAATTCATGAACACATGTTTGTGATGAAGTCGGAGTCGCACAATGGAGACTTCTTGGATCATGGACAGGGTTTTGTTTACTTCATAATCACACATAGAGGTTACCTTGAGCAGACTTCTGCCAAGAGCATCCCAGACGTGTTCGATGGGATTGAGGTCGGGAGACCTTGACGGCCAGTCCATGACGTTGACTCCCGCATTCTGAATGAAATTCCTTGTCAAAATTGCTGTGTTGGGTCTGGCATTGTCGTGTTGGAAGATCAAACCGGGTCGATGTGCTGCCATAAAAGGCAGAAGTTCTGGTGCCAGTACCTGGTCGCGGTAAGCAGCAGCGTTGAGGTTGCCACGGATGACAAAAAGCCTGGACCGTGCATTGCCACAGAAAGCACCCCACACCATGACACTTCCGCCTCGATATCTGTCAACTTCCTGTACACAACACTGGGCGTAACGTTCATGACGGCGCCTCCACACTCTCGCCCTACCATCAGCAAATCGAAGATTAAATCGGGATTCATCACTGAAGACGACTTGATTCCAATTCCTCTGAGTCCATCGTAAGTGTCGGTGTGCCAACAATTGACGTTGACGTCTGTGTAATAGAGTCAGAATCGGCCCGCAGTATGGCCATCGTGCTTGAGGGTGAGCAGTTCTCAGGCGGTTTCGAACAGTTTGCGCACTCAGTCTACCCCTAAACAGTTTACTTCTGGTTGATGTAGCCGTCAAAAATCGGTTACGGAGGTGACGTAAGACAATCTGACGATCCTCTGCATGTGACGTCACACGTGGTCGACCTGGCCGAGGGCTATCAGTGTACGTGATTTTGATCGATTCACCTGCACAAAAACGGGTGTTATCAGAAGACAATACGTTGCCATTACTGTTTAAATACACAATAAGGGCCCACAATGATAACTGGTCAAAATGTTAAAATTTTAGGATTGTGTGAAGTTTATTAATTTGGTTCAGTATATATATTTTTCCGTACGCATATAGTTCATTAACGTACAAGACATATATTTTTAAAGGCAAACTACAACAGATCTGAAGTGTATTTTTAGGATCAAATGTTATGGAGGACACGTATGCAGAACGACTTCGTGGATTCTTCAATGCCGGATGTGCAACTACGGCCATTGCTCTTGCAAAGGATGTTGGGATACTCAAAATCCTCTTGGAGGCTGATGTACCGCTGACGTCGGATGATATTTCCACGTGTGGGAGTCTAAAAGAGAGGTATATGTTCACTGACTGATTTGAGTTTTTGTACTTTGTACTTAGGGAACTGTAACATGACTGTTTGCGAGGCCATTTAGTCTCTTATAGCCATATTATCGACTCAGATACTGCCGGGAAATCCTTGGCGCCCTGGTGACTGCTGATGTGATTGAAGTGGACTCCACAAGCCGGAAGTACTTTGTACCTGTCTCCAACCGGAAGTCTCTGGCCGGTGCGGCCATCTCCAATCGTTTGATGCCCTATTTCGGGGAGAAGTACGCCGCTATCAAGGATTGCTTCAGGGAAGAGGGGCCTGCAGGTTGTTGGCTTTGTATTACAGTAATCCAGGATACGTTGAACCAACTCACAAGACGCGTCTGAGACAAGTAGGCAGTACAAAGAAGTAGCAAACATATTTGGTTTGTCACATGTAGTGAGGGTGTGCGCATGGTGTGCACGCGCATGTAATGGCGATGAAATTGACTGAGCTCCCCTGGACACACGTTTTGCGCATAAGACTATTGAATGGTCCGTGTCAGAATTCTTAGCCGAGACGTGCACATATCCATCGTACCACTTGTCGCGGACCAGGCGGGCCACTACCGATTTCTTCATAATAATATGCAGAAGTGGGTGGACCTCATACATAGTCATGCGGGGTTAGCTGTCAGGTCACAACTTAACTTTTATCCTTGCTTACCAGTAAATTCTCTAAGGTTTGGACCAGGCCTATCAAATGCTTCACACCCATAAGAAACTGTTGGTGCCTGGACCAACATTGCAGTATTCAGTTGTTGTTTTCTAATAAATACTAGGCTTGGACTAGTCTACAAATGTCCACCTCGGAGTAAGTGAGTGAATTTTGCTTAATGCGAGAGGAAAGCCTAAAGTGACTATTGGACTATATCACCCTCAAACGCAGTGCTGACCTGACAATCCAAGGATGATAATCAGAGCTCATCAGGGACTGAAACCGAATGATCTGAGATCCCAGCATGCTGAAATGGCGCATAGGCAATCACTCCTCCTAGCGTGATACCCCATCTGGGCGTGTGTGAACACTGGTATAATCTATCATGTCTGCAGAAGACACTGGTGAAAGAAACCCTCCTTTCCAATGGTGTGGTAACCAGCGCACCTCACCATGTCTGTTTTATAAATGAGATGATAAATGTACCAGTCATTTAGAACTGACCACACTGGCTTCACCTTCAGTTAAAATATTATTCTTGGTCACCAGGTGTGCGCTATGCCGCTTTTCCTGTCGCTTTCGACATCATGCGCGAGTTGCGAGTGTTCAGCCAGGACACCCTGCTGGAGGAGTTTGTACTTGGCGTGGTGCCCGGACTTCCTAAGCGGCTAGGTAATCAGCTGGATGTGTAGTACAGTCATATACCACGTTTATCTGAACCTTCCTCCACCATTGCTTTGAACAACTATATATACTAACGGCAAAAAAGTAAAGTTCAATAAAAATAAATCTATTGTGAAATTGGATAATGTATCTTTCAAGACATATTAATGAATACGTCTCCACAACTTTATGATCCTGATTCACAAATTGCACGTGCATGTTCTAGCAGTGTGCAGAATTTGGATATTTGCGTATGTGTTGGGAGCATGATACCCGCACACGTGTTTTTTTAATGTGAAACACACTAAATGATTCACCAAAACCCTTTTGTTCAATAATAAATAACGCTCATGCAATGTCACCGCTTACCAAAAATCAACCTCTACACGCTGAGGGTATGCTGCAAAAAGGAATAGCACAAAACTAAGTTGGCAGACATTTTAGTGTTCATCAAAACACAATGACTTGCCACGGGCCTGTCGTCCCCGTGTAACGTCACGTCAACAAGACAACATGTTTCCGGTTGCTGGATCTACGTAATCTGCCGCATTAACAGATTTGTTCATACAACTCATCATTGTATATTTGTTCGAGGTCATGTTCTACCCTTTGCCAATACACCTGTGGCACATAATGAGGCAGCATAATGTTGCTGTACTGCTATGACGGGCTGTATCTCCAGAACTCTCCAAGACAGAAATGCCTCAAAAGACGACTATGGCAGGACCAAAACCAGCCGCTAAAGCTATTTCAGTTGGGACAATCTTTAATTAATATTTGAACAACTTCCCCGAGGCTGTTTTCAATCATCTGTTACCTTCAATGCTCCACCGCTGCCTAGCCTGTATCAACGCAAATGGAGCTGACATCTGACATTGACCTTACTAATTGAGATATTACACCACCACCACTACCACCACCATTTTGTGCTTGTCTCTCTGTCTCCTGGTAACACATCTGGGTTTTGGTAGTGAATGGTTATGATAAACCACTGTTCAGACAAAAGACCAAATATTATGTTGTTGCATTTGATAACATAACATTTACATCACTTCATATGAAGCACAATTACTTTTTTCCGTTAGTATATATAAACAGTACTTTCTGTATGTGGAAGTTTGTCAATCCGTAGGATCTAATACAGAATCGTATCAGTGAATTCAATTTGGGTTATGCATGGTTGATTGTCTTTTAAAAACCCTGTGATCATATTCAAAACGTCAACGCCAGAGAATAAGATTATCTGCGGAAACAGATTCCAGAGAGGGTAAAAGGCAAACCAGTGTGAAAAAGTGTAAACCATTGGAATATATTGGGTGATCTTTCATACTTCATCCTGACCTACAGAAACATCTTTACGTTGTGGTCTGTCTTCGTAATGAATATAATCTGTTATGTAAATACATTATGATCGAGTTGGATGGATTTCCCTTTGATAGAGAAAACATACAGTTAATTCGCAACAACATCATCAATGTCCCCATTTGTTCCTTATTGCAGATAAGGGTATAATGGCAGCAGAACTGGGGTGTGGCTATGGCATCCTAGCTTCTAATTTGGCTCAACGATATCCAGCAACGACCTTTATCGCCAGTGACGTGGTTGATGAGCTGCTGGAGACTGCACGACAAGCAGCATCTGTGAAGGGCCTCACAAACCTCCATTTTGAACGTCAAGACATTTATGACCTCCCTGATACATATATGAACAAATTTGATTGGATATTAGTTCGTGACGTCATTCATGACCTGCCTCACCCTGATCGAGCATTGCGTGCGATCTACCGGTCCCTGAAGCCCGGGGGAGAGCTGAGCCTCCTGGAAAAGGGCGTGACGGGAACATTATCAGAGAATGTTGGCAACATGGGCGTCTGTTCCCTGTATACTCTGAGTACCTTCAGCTGCGTGCCTGAGAGCTTCCAGCACCCCGACTCCGCCGCCCTAGGAGCTGCATGGAATGTCTGTCAGGCCAGGGAAATGATAGAGAGGGCGGGTTTCACGCTGGTCAAAGAGTTCCATAATGAAAAGAATAAGCAGGATGTTCACTACATCTGTCGAAAATGATCTTTTGATTTCATATATGTCTTAGATAGACACGATATATGTCCCGCTATAACTGTACAATCTGTCCTTCCAGGGTTCACTTACCAACGTCCCAGATCAGCAACTAGTTGCCATGCCTGAGCTTGATTTAAACCATATCCAGACAAGGAATAATCCAACAAATACGTGACATCTGTTAACCAGCCATGAATGTTGTAACTTTATTGTTTCAAGTCAATTAAAACTCTTCATGAACATCTTTGCTGTTGGTACCTTACTATTACCTGGTCCTCTGATCAGGAGAACTGTCTCCAGTATACTTAAACTTCAGTATATATATATTAAACTTAACATGAAACCATGAACGTTCATTTCCTCGTGTAAGTTATATCCGTATCAGGCTTTTTTTTAACAGTTCTGCACTGCTTACATGTAAATAAAGTCAACAAAACCATTTCCATATTTATAAGAAATCAATTTTCGATTCCGACCATATCATGAGCATGTGTGTAGGAATCAATATCAAATATTGAGGACACCAGGTGTTTGGGGAAAGGTGAGTGTAATCTGCACCACCACAAAGCATGTCTCTATCAGCCTCACTAAACGTTCAGAACTGCTAATATATAGTCAATGTACTTGTGTTGCCCCATTTAATTTAAACCGAGATATACTTTTGCACATTTTCTAATTGTTAAACAGTGATAACTAGAACTCCACCGTTTGTCTTCAGGTAAATACGGATACCAGTTTTACTCTAAATAAATACTGATACACATATGTACTTATTATTATGCATAACATATTATTACAGATCTTTATTGTAGATGGTCGGCTTCAGGCTATATGAAATAATTTCTGTTTTCCATTAATCTTGTAATTTGGAGATAGTTCTTGTCACGTACATGAAGCCATATCGAAGTAGCTTGGTTCTGGGCGGGTTTCGATTTAGAGTATTGTTTGAGAGTAATGTTTATGAGTGTTGTTTGAGAGTATTGTTTGAGGGTATTGTCTGAGAAGTGAAAACAGCTTGAACTTTATAATCCATTGCCCTATATATTTATTCATGTGGAGCGGTTAGAACTGATGTTTTCATCAGTGAAATAAACATGTGTCAACCTCTATTATACAGGGACGACTGTATATTCTGTTTGTAGAATATGGTTTAACGCTGTTCTGAACAGTATGTCAGTAATATAACGGTGTGTCAGCTTGAGGTTAGAGTAAAGCTCAAATTGATGCAAGACGTTTACCAATATAGTGAAACCCACGAGCACGGGCATGTTCTGTGAAACCAAGAAACATAATGATGGAGAATTTGGATTCGAACCCACGATCATAATATGTTTGCCTGCCTGAGGTATGGACAACCTGTACCCTTCTATATAGTAAAACACATTTATAAAGGTGCATTTGGTATTTTCTTCCCAGCTGGTACTGCGTTCCAATATACATTTGTCAACCTCCATTATACAGGGACGCCTGTCTATAACCAGGGACGACTGTATATTCTGATTGTAGAGCGAATGATATGGTTTAACACTGTTCTGAATAGTATGTCAGTAATATAACGGTGTGTCAGCTTGAGGTTAAAGTAAAGCTCAAATTGAGGCAAGACTTGGACGTTTAACAATTTAGTGAAACCCACGAGCACGGGCATGTTCTGAGAAACCAAGAAACATAATGATGGCGAATTTGGATTCGAACCCGTGATCATATTATTTTTGCATTCCTGAGGTATGCAACTTAGGCAAAAGGACAACCTGTACCCTTCTATATAGTAAAACACATTTATAAAGGTGCATTTGGTATTTTTCCCCCAGCTGGTACTGCTTTCCGAAATGGACACAACAGAATACGGACGCATGGTGGACGGGTACACTGCCTCTGGAGCCGTGGCCAGCGCCATCGCCCTGGCAAAAGACTTGGGAATCCTTGATATTCTGTACGAGAGCGAGGAACCACTCTCGTCACAGAACATCGCTGATAAGGGAGGGCTAAAGGAGAGGTGGGTCTTCTGTTTCAGAGGGCAGCAAGCAAGAGAGTCCTCATGGACAGATAGAGGGGCGGCCTGAAAATATATTTTTCTGCTCTTTTCTAATTCCGTACGTTGCCCATTTTCGGCTGATGGTAAAGTGATGGGGGTCCATACCGAAGCATTTTACAAACAACATCTGCTTTAATACTGCGAACAACACTTAAGTCGTCCATGTATAGACCTGAACTACACGTGGTGGCATGTGGTCCTGTGCACTGCGCACAGATCACAAGTCAGGTGAAGTTAAGCAACATCGGTCCCTCCGAGTTGTTGGATGGGTGACCACGTTAAGCAGCTTGACTCCTGAGAGTTTCTAGGGCTTCGGTCTTGCTCCACACTGAAGCACATGTACCACATGTGGTGTCTCCTTAGGCAAGTGACTTTGCTCGAAATGTGCGTCTGTGCACCTAGCAGTGAGTGGGTACCCGGTAGAATGAGATGGTAATGTGGCTGTTAACCATCTAGCGCCTCACAGGCAGCTTGTGTTGTATACTCCCCAGGGAGCTGAGAATGAAAATCGAGTGCTCACGGATCAATTGACCAGGGTAATGATAGTGTAGCACTATGAGCATCCACTTGGTGAATGGAATCTGGCGTATTATAAATGCACTTATTATTATTAGTACACACCACTGATTGAAAACAACGATTAAATATTGAAGACAGGCGGCGAGTTGATATTGTTTAAGTATGATACCTACTTCAACGCCCTGTTTAAATAAGCTGACCATTCAAGGTGTAAAGTTAAGATGTGAGGTTAGGTTCATAATGAACACAGTTGTAGATTTATTCCAAGCTATGTTTACATGTGTTACAAGACATTTTTTTTAAATTGTTTATAAACAATCTCTACACTACTATACATCATTTGTCTGTCATAATACTAATAAAGTTTTAAAAACTTTTCAATGTCAATAGGTTCCTAAACTTCCCTATTAAATATAACTGTTTTAGCCTCACTGTGTGTAAATGTCTGCATATAACAATTGCTTTCTAAGTGCAAACGTTAACACCTGGAGTGCATTGAAGCTAACCTAAAATTGAAAGTAGCCTAAAAAAGAAAAAGAAGCGAGCGTTAATGTGACGTACATATATATACAGATATATTCATTTTTGTAAAATACCTTATATATACTAATCTGGTGTGTTATGTTATATACATATATATATGTTTGTACATAACTATATATATAATGCTCGTGTACATTCGTTGAAATCACTACTTTTCTTCCTGTGATAACTGATGTGAAAAGCAGCAGTATTTGTCAGTACAGCTTCCAGCAGGCAATACCTCGACATCGTTATAGGAGATACTACCATATTCCCCAGATACGTGCGAGAGCTGGTCAGCGCGCTGGTGACAGGAGGCGTGATCCAAGTCGACTCCACATCTACTCTGTTCCACATCAATGCCGAGTTCAAACCAGTCCTGAGAGAGAAGTCCATTTTCACACGAATGGTACCTTACTTTGGAGAGAAGTATGACGCTATCATGAACTGTTGCACAAAGGATGGACCCGCAGGTAAATGAACATTAAGGATTATTACCGGTATTCTACTGACATGATTTAGACCTGTCATGGGTGGCCCAGTCGTCTGAGTGGCGTCCTAGAATCCCAGACCAGCCCACCCTTATTATCATTCTTGGTTTGCGTGTGGAAGACGTTTATGACCTGTGTAACATCAGGTGTTCCCACCACGACTTTGACCTGCCTCACTTTCCGGTCTTTCCACTACATCTATGACCTGTCTAACTTCCGGTCTTCTCACTACGTGTATGATCTTTATCACTTCCGGTCTATCCACTTCGTCGGTCGCTTGTCTAACTTCCGGTCTTAACACCACGTCTGTGACCTGTCTCACTTGTGGTTTCCCCAACACGTCTGTGATCTGTATCACTTCCGGTCTTCCCACTACGACTATGACCTATCTCACTTCAGGTTTCAACCATATTAAGCCCACACGTCATAAAATAACTGAAATACCATACAAAGCGGCGCTAAACTCTTTTATGCGACACTTATTACTTACCTGATTGTATCACCCAGGCGTGCGCTACTCGGAACACCCGGTGTTGTTTGACATGATGGATGAGATGCGAGCAGAGACGCAGGATCGACTTCTCGACAGGGACGTACTTCCGGTGGTGCCAGCACTCCCAGAGAGACTGAGTAGGCCGTTTTAACTTCGTTTTAAAGTTCGACAATCGAACTTCATCGACCCATATTATCATCAGCTGACTGGTTAAACACTCGCTCAGTCCCGCGAGTCGACAAAGCTGTAGGGATATAGTCAAACGCCCTGTGTGTTTGTTGGTATGCAAATTAACTAGTACATCAATAACGTGGTTGATAATGGCACGTCGATAGTCGAAATAAGTACTCATCAAATTACAGTGGCCTGCATTTTGTCTCATAACTCGTTATGCTAAGTCATTTTAGCTATCGTGACAGTTACGTTGCAGGGACAATTTGAGTATACCACTCTCTTGATGATATGTTCAACCAACAGGAGACGCTCAGGTCTTATCTCAATTTTGCCTCTTTCAGAATCTGGAATTGATGTGGCTGAAATAGGATGCGCCAATGGAACCCTTATTCTCAATCTGTGCGCTCGCTTTCCGGCCTCACGGTTCACCGGAAGTGATGTAGTAGAGCCTGTGCTGGACATTGCCCGCAACCGAGCATCTGACCGGGGTATTTCAAACAGCGAGTTTATGACTATCAATGTCTGCCACATTCCGGAGAGCCCAAAGAAACATTATGACTGGATCTTTTTACGAGATGTAGTTCACGACCTACCAAACCCGGAAGGGTGCCTTTCAGGAATATACAGGATGCTGAGACCAGGTGGGTACTTCAGCATGTTGGACTTCGGTCTTCAAGGAAGTCTCCGCGACAACGTGGGCAAAGTAGGCATCAGCTACATGTACGCAAGCTCGACCTTCATATGTATCCCCGAGAGCTACCAGGAACAGAAGTCTGCTGCACTAGGGCCGTGCTTTGGTGTACAAAAGGCTCGAGAGCTTCTACTCCAGGCTGGGTTTATCTTGGTTCAGGAACACCACAGTGCATGGAATGAGGGAGAGGTACACTTCGTCTGTCAGCGGCCGGAGTAGTGTCAGACCATCACGGCATGGTGTGACATGATGACACCTCAGCCTCCGCATATTGTATGGGCAGCTGTATCATGTACATCCTTTTGTAATCATCACGTTCCAAGGATGATTCTGACAGACTCAAATATTTAGGGTGTGTGTACACCGATGATATTAATAGATATTGATGTAACTATTAAATAATGTACTTATGTGTAAGTTATCTGAAAATAAATCAGCTGTCGTGAACGACCATGCCCTTCCCCCTCGACCGTGTGCTGCTTCATTTCTAAGGCACAATTGGTTGACATCTGTACCTTCACCAGCATGAAACCGCAATTTGAGCCCTATTAAATATGTATGGGATATCTGCCTGTGTAGAGCATCCTGCAACGAAGGTCAGTGTTCCACCAAGTAATGGTAACAGCTCCCACAACAAATTCTAGGCCGTTTGGTTCATGGAGGAGACGAGAGGAAAAACGGCCCATGGGAAACCAGTTAGATATTAGCTCAACACAATGTATGACGGGAGGGATTGCTTCAATTTCCCAGAAGTCAACTTTCCCTCAATGTCGAGCAGCATTCAAGCAGCTGCAGCTTTTGGCGTCTTCATTTCATATCTTTCATGCTACACGAGCATGCTCTTTCTACGAAGATTCTACAAAGAGCATCATATAACTCTTGCTGACACGTTATTTGATCAGGGTTACAACATTCAAGGCCTCAGTAAAGCTTTCAAAAAGTGTTATGGTGGACATGTGGAGAACATGATTTGACGCATGTGACAAAAATTGTGTCCAATGTTTTGTGTGGGTTATTAATCTGAATAAAGGAAACTAAAGGAAAGTAATAAGCAGCATTAAGGCCTAAGTATGGCACTTATTTATGCAAAAACATTGTTTATTAAATTCATTATTTCTGAGCCATATATATAACAGGCACTGAAAGCGTGTAACGCTGATACTTCGTCAGCCGTCAGGAACACCCCGAGGGAAGCAGGCCTTGAAGGTTCAGTTTTGCAACTCACGTCATGCAGCAGCAAGCATGTTTGACACACTTATGTCGTTGTTGTGAGACGGTAAATGGCCTGTTCCTACCTACTCCCCACTACAAGGTCATGTCAGTGGTTACAGAATTACATGATAACAACCGCCGTCATATAGCGGGAATATTGCTGAGTGCGGCGTAAAACAACAAACCGACCAACATGATAACAAGGCAGAAAACAACTCTATTTGAATGTTATTGAATAACAGGTGTTGTTAATTACCTTATTCATGATTATTCGATAATAATCAACTTTCGTCGCGTAATTTTGTTTAATGGAAAACATTTCTGAAATACCGGTTGCCAAATTGATGGTTGAGGGACTATAGTTATTATAAAATGCCTTTCAACAATGACTGAGAAAGTACTTTTCTCTAATTTTAGTTTTCGCGGTGATGCGGCCGCCAAGTCGACTGTTTCAATCAGGGATCACCGCCTCCGTAGTCTAGTGGTAGAGCGTCTGCCCGGAGAGCGGAAGGTCCGGGGTTCGATCCCCGGCCGCGTCATATCAAAAGACGTTAAAAGACGGTACTTGTTGTTACCCTGTCTGGCGCTCGGCATTAAGGGGCTAAAACAAGGACTGGTCGGCTCGGAGTCAGTATACTGTGTCTGAGTGGGGTATTCATGTTAAACTGCGGCATTGTATCTCAGTGGGCTAGCACTATAAATCGGCATCCTTCCGGACTAGTACAAGCAGCCACACAAATACACAAACGTGCATGCACGTCGCTATATAAGTGAAATAATCTTTGACGCGACGTTAAACCCAATTTCACCTCACCTCACCTCACCTCACCTCACCTCACCTCACCTTCAATCAGCGATCGTTATTGTAATTTGATACCACTGATTGAACAATCAAAATCGTGTAATTTCAAAATTCTTAGAATGTATGAAATGAGCTGACCGTATTTAAATGCATATGCATATGCCAAGCAGGAATTTTCAGTGTGGAACGAGAAAACCGGTACCAGTAACGAGTAAAAGACATGTTTCCTTAAAGCTTTTCCTGACATATACTGTTTTCTTTCTTCCTTGTTGTTTAATGCAGCACTCGGCAATGTTCCAGCCGTCCTATGACGGCGGGCTGTAAATAATCGAGACAGACAATCCAGTGACTGACATCATGATCATCGATCCTCGCATTTGTAATACGATGACATGCATCAACCAAATCAGCGAACCTGACCACCCGATCCCGTTTGTCGCCTCATACAAGCTTGGTCGCCTTTAACGGCAAGACTGGGTTGCTAATGGCCTATTCTGCCCCGGATCTTCACGGCTCCTGTTATATGCAGTATGTCAGTACCCTGTCAGTACATTGATTAACGACATTAGTGTTTTGTGTTATCGTCCCATCTGATACAACTCACCGTGCACAATAGCCCAGAGAATTGCCTCTGTCACCCTATGACTGTCGCTGACCACAGTCATGCAAACAAGAAAACTACTTGTACATAGCTCATCACAGTCATGCAAACAAGAAAACTACTTGTACATAGCTCATCACAGTCATGCAAACAAGAAAACTACTTGTACATAGCTCACCACAGTCATGCAAACAAGAAAACTACTTGTACATAGCTCATCACAGTCATGCAAACAAGAAAACTACTTGTACATAGCTCATCACAGTCTTGCAAACAAGAAAACTACTTGTACATAGCTCATCACAGTCATGCAAACAAGAAAACTACTTGTACATAGCTCATCACAGTCATGCAAACAAGAAAACTACTTGTACATAGCTCACCACAGTCATGCAAACAAGAAAACTACTTGTACATAGCTCACCACAGTCATGCAAACAAGAAAACTACTTGTACATAGCTCACCACAGTCATGCAAACAAGAAAACTACTTGTACATAGCTCACCACAGTCATGCAAACAAGAAAACTACTTGTACATAGCTCACCACAGTCATGCAAACAAGAAAACTACTTGTACATAGCTCACCACAGTCATGCAAACAAGAAAACTACTTGTACATAGCTCACCACAGTCATGCAAACAAGAAAACTACTTGTACATAGCTCACCACAGTCATGCAAACAAGAAAACTACTTGTACATAGCTCATCACAGTCATGCAAACAAGAAAACTACTTGTACATAGCTCACCACAGTCATGCAAACAAGAAAACTACTTGTACATAGCTCATCACAGTCATGCAAACAAGAAAACTACTTGTACATAGCTCATCACAGTCATGCAAACAAGAAAACTACTTGTACATAGCTCACCACAGCCATGCAAACAAGAAAACTACTTGTACATAGCCCACCACAGTCATGCAAACAAGAACACTACTTGTACATAGCTCATCACAGTCATGCAAACAAGAAAACTACTTGTACATAGCTCATCACAGTCATGCAAACAAGAAAACTACTTGTACATAGCTCACTATAGTCATGCAAACAAGAAAACTACTTGTACATAGCTCACCACAGTCATGCAAACAAGAAAACTACTTGTACATAGCTCACCACAGTCATGCAAACAAGAAAACTACTTGTACATAGCTCACCACAGTCATGCAAACAAGAAAACTACTTGTACATAGCTCACCACAGTCATGCAAACAAGAACACTACTTGTACATAGCTCATCTCAGTCATGCAAACAAGAAAACTACTTGTACATAGCTCATCACAGTCATGCAAACAAGAAAACTACTTGTTCATAGCTCACCACAGTCATGCAAACAAGAAAACTACTTGTTCATAGCTCACCACAGTCATGCAAACAAGAAAACTACTTGTTCATAGCTCACCACAGTCATGCAAACAAGAAAACTACTTGTACATAGCTCATCACAGTCATGCAAACAAGAAAACTACTTGTACATAGCTCATCACAGTCATGCAAACAAGAAAACTACTTGTACATAGCTCACCACAGCCATGCAAACAAGAAAACTACTTGTACATAGCTCACCACAGTCATGCAAACAAGAAAAATACTTGTACATAGCTCATCACAGTCATGCAAACAATGAAACTACTTGTACATAGCTCATCACAGTCATGCAAACAAGAAAACTACTTGTACATAGCTCACCACAGCCATGCAAACAAGAAAACTACTTGTACATAGCTCACCACAGTCATGCAAACAAGAACACGACTTGTACATAGCTCATCACAGTCATGCAAACAAGAAAACTACTTGTACATAGCTCACTACAGTCATGCAAACAAGAAAACTACTTGTACATAGCTCACCACAGTCATGCAAACAAGAAAACTACTTGTACATAGCTCACCACAGTCATGCAAACAACAACACTACTTGTACATAGCTCACCACAGTCATGCAAACAAGAAAACTACTTGTACATAGCTCACCACAGTCATGCAAACAAGAAAACTACTTGTACATAGCTCACCACAGTCATGCAAACAAGAAAACTACTTGTACATAGCTCATCACAGTCATGCAAACAAGAAAACTACTTGTACATAGCTCATCACAGTCATGCAAACAAGAAAACTACTTGTACATAGCTCACCACAGTCATGCAAACAAGAAAACTACTTGTACATAGCTCATCACAGTCATGCAAACAAGAAAACTACTTGTACATAGCTCATCACAGTCATGCAAACAAGAAAACTACTTGTACATAGCTCATCACAGTCATGCAAACAAGAAAACTACTTTATATAGCTCACCATAGTCATGCAAACAAGAAAACTACTTGTACATAGCTCACCACAGTCATGCAAACAAGAAAACTACTTGTACATAGCTCACCACAGTCATGCAAACAAGAAAACTACTTGTACATAGCTCACCACAGTCATGCTAACAGAAAACTACTTGTACATAGCTCATCACAGTCATGCAAACAAGAAAACTACTTGTACATAGCTCATCACACTCATGCAAACAAGAAAACTACTTGTACATAGCTCATCACAGTCATGCAAACAAGAAAACTACTTGTACATAGCTCACCACAGTCATGCAAACAAGAAAACTACTTGTACATAGCTCACCACAGTCATGCAAACAAGAAAACTACTTGTACATAGCTCATCACAGTCTTGCAAACAAGAAAACTACTTGTACATAGCTCACCACAGTCATGCAAACAAGAAAACTACTTGTACATAGCTCACCACAGTCATGCAAACAAGAAAACTACTTGTACATAGCTCATCACAGTCATGCAAACAAGAAAACAACTTGTACATAGCTCACCACAGTCATGC